TGCAACTGAGCGATGAAATTTACAATGAGGTATTGATATTAATTGAGGACATGTGCTTGATGATGTCGAACAAGGTACTAGCGCAATTAGGCATCACAGCGCCCAATCGTCCGATGCACGACGCATTTAATCAGGAGCTGACACGCGAAAGGCAATATGACTACGATGTGTTGATAGAGTCAGTTCGAGCAAATGTTCCGCTATTGAATCAAGAACAGAAATATGCATACGACACTCTTATGAAAGTTGCTAACGATGGGACTGGAGGGATTTTCTTCTTAGACGCTCCTGGTGGAACTGGAAAAACGTTTTTGATCGCGTTGATTTTGGCAACGATTCGCCCCCAGAATGAAATTGCAGTTGCACTTGCTTCATCAGGAATTGCAGCTACGTTGTTGGAAGGCGGTCGAACAGCTCATTCGGCTCTCAAGTTGCCGTTGAATATGCAAATCATTGAAACACCAACGTGCAACCTTTCGAAAAACTGTGCGATGTCCAAAGTATTGCAGCAATGCAAGTTGATCGTTTGGGATGAATGTACAATGGCGCATAAAAAGTCTTTAGAGGCATTAGACCGAACAATGCAAGATCTACGAAACAATCAACACCGGTTTGGTGGAGCGATGATTCTTTTAGCAGGTGATTTTCGTCAAACATTACCGGTGATTCCACGGTCAACGCCAGCCTATGAACTTAATGCATGTTTGAAGTCGTCCGTTTGGTGGAAACACGTCAAGGTTCTCAAATTAAATATGAACATGCGTGTCGTGTTGCAGAACGATCAAGCTGGAGAATTATTTTCAAAACAATTGTTGGACATTGGCAATGGCAACATCCCCGTTGATATTTCGACTGGTTGCATTACATTTCCCGTAAATTTTTGTCAGTTCACCGAGTCGAAGACCGAACTCCAATCCAAAAGGTGTACCCAAACATTGCTCAAAATTACAGAAATCATGATTGGTTGAGTAACCGTGCTATATTGGCTGCCAAAAACATTGATGTCAACGAATTGAACTTCAAAATTCAAAGTGAAATTGCTGGCGAATTGATGACATACAAATCGATAGATTCCATTACTAAGGAAGATGATATCGTCAACTATCCAACCGAATTTTTAAACTCGCTGGAGCTGCCCGGATTGCCGCCTCATAATCTCCAATTAAAAGTCGGATCGATAATCATAATGTTGCGAAATATCAACCAACCACGTCTTTGTAATGGCACCCGTCTTGCGGTGAAGAGACTGATGAACAACATCATCGAAGCAAGAATTCTTCAAGGAAAGTACAAAGGAGAACACGTTTTGATACCTCGCATTCCAATGATTTCGACCGACATGCCATTCGATTTTAAACGCTTGCAGTTTCCGGTGCGTCTTGCATTCACTATGACGATAAACAAGTCACAAGGACAGTCGTTAAGTGTTTGCGGCATTAACCTTGAACATCCACGTCAATTGTATGTTGCCTGTTCCCGCGTCCCGACGCGGAAACCATCAGCTTTATTTGTTTACGCGCCAGACAACAGAACAAAAAATGTCGTGTATCATAAAGCATTGCAATGAAGAAAATTCGGATGTCACAGGAAGTAATGTAGGTTAATTGTGGTTCAGATAAACAGTTAAAAAATATTATTACATCATTATTAACTATAACTATATTAAAAGTGATATTCTTATAAAAGTAGTAATGAAAATGAAAATAATACTTACATGAATAAAATTATATTTCTTACTGTATTACATAATAGATAGGTATACTTAATAATACACTTTAAACATTTTCTACGTTTATATCGTTTTCTGTTGCTACGTCTATTTCGTTTCCCTTATTTTCTGCTCTTCTTCCCTTCGTTCTTTTTCGTCCGCATTGTCGGAATCGGCATATGCTATTTACGATAAGGCGCGATCTATATCATCGTCACACCATAACCATAGGGATTGTGTTGAAGATGTTGAAAATTTTGACGGCGAAATTGACACAATTTCACTTGAAGTGGACTGCGTTCGCTGTTTCTTCAATCTTTCTATTGCTTGCTGTTCTCCACGGTATGGCCGCAAATCTCGCAATACTGCTGTTGACTTCATTTCATACGACGAAATAAATGGTGCTTTGTTGCATTTCGTACACGTTTCTATAAAGAACAATAATATATTGCTATAGGCATATACACATGATATAGTTTGACATACCCAATATAGAATCGAATTCCATCTGCCTACGTGCCCCACAAATACCGCAAAATCGGTCCATATTTCCAATGCACACTAACAAGCAAAGACTAAAACTACGCCAAGGCCAAGTGCACAGCTCAAGTGATATCTGTAGTGTGATTCATTCTCGTATACGTTCGTCTCTCTTTCGGGTTCTGTCGTGCATTGACTGTTGGGTCATCTGAACTCAAACCTACAGAATTGGTATCACAAATTCTGAAGTCCTAACCCCCATTAGTAGGCAAGTCAGCGTTCGGGCAGGACAACGTCTGCCGGGTCAGCTAGTCATTAATAATAATAACCAATAAACCACTAATGTTACATCTAAGTAAAGTTTTTAACGCCAATACCAAATTAAAATATAAAACGGTTTTCCCTCTCACAGAGAGTAACGTGTTTACTCTACATAAGCACCAAAAAATAACGGTACCGATATCCGTTCCCGTTATCATACCTTCCTGAATAACAGTTCCAGTTCCAAGTGAGGGGCTTATAAATGCAATAGGTTCCGGTTCAGGTAGCAGTTCTTTTCGGTACCAGTGTGGCACACCAAAATTGCATTTTTTGAAATGGAACACTCTGTACATTATTCAAGATTTCAATTCTTCTTTCATTTGAAATATACTGTACGTAAATTCAATTGGTTACTATCGATTTGAAAATAAACGTTATTATTTTAAAATTTATTAATAATGAACAAGTGTTGATAATACAATATTTAACCTAATGACATTAAAATACAGATCATAACTAATAAACTAGTTAAAACAAAATTAAAATCCATCAATAAATGACTGGGCAATATATTACTTACGCATACTTATTCAGTGCGCAACACAGTACTGCCTGCGACGCCATTTGGCCTAATCGAGTCCTGCTGTTACGTCGCACCAATAAGCAACCGTGCACATACTAAGAGAACGAATATGCATCGTATGCGAATAGGTCACATGACGTTACACGCGGAAATGTAATTATATTTCCAAGCGCAACTTTAAGGTCTTGTAAATTTTTCATTTGTGAAGGTATTTTAATGATTCTTTCGCATTTTTGTTTCACTTTACTTAAATTTTCATAATTAATTTACAATAAAAAACTGGAAACTTTTCCATTGAATAAAGAACAATACAATGGTTCCAAATAATCATAACAAACTTCGCAAACAGTTCTTTTCAGAACTATAGAATGTTTTCAAAAAAAATTCGTGATCTCATTAATTGTTGGTTGTTTTTTTCAAACAAAAATGTTTATTTTCAAAACTCGATAATCAGGAAACGATCGAATTTAGATACATTGTGCTTGTTACAAATTTTGGTTAAAATTGAGAGAAGAATTGAAATATCAAATCATGTACAGTGTTTCATTTAAAAAAATTCAATTTGGGTGTGCCACACTCTCGGCCACACCTTTATGACCAACCTTGAATAATTATTTATACAAAACTATTGCATAAAACTCTTTTGTTGTCTTCCCCGATAGTAGACCGTTTCCAGATTTATCAGCGGTCCTGTATACAGAATAGAGCAACAAAGGTGGTACCACAACATTAGGAAACATAAGTCGATTGGGTGGAAGAGCAGGAGAGTAACTCATCCGTCCCTGAACTGCATCGTTTACACCTTTTCTTCACTATATGGAATATTTTTTTTCTTTTCTTGTAAATATGGTCTAATTATTATTATTATTAAGAACACAAATTAAACAATGTAACCATATTAACAAAATGTTCTAGTAAACAAATGTGTTAAATTACATAATTATCCCTCATAGAGATTTACAAAGTAATTCATAACCCAAAGTTCCCATGTAAATGAAAGATATATTGGGAATATACAATATAAGCTGTACATATTGTAATCAAGTGTACATACTCATATATACAAGATCACTCATAATACATGGCTTACTTTAAACACAATTGTTTATACCTGGGGCTTGCGTGAAACGACCTTCTCATGAGCTATCAAGCGTTTTGAGTGCATGAATGAGCGGGGCTTAACTTTATATAAATAAAACAGACCGTCTGATCATCCAAATATGAAAAATTAACTCCTTATATTAGTACCAGATTGTTACTTATACATAAAAGTGTGGGTAAATATATGTCCTCTGCCCTAAGTTGCATCAGCAGATTGTTTTTGACAGAATGTAAAATCCCGCTCACTGCTGCATTAAAAAACCTTGGGTTCTTATGAAACCTCCTGGTCAATTCAAAGTAAATCTAGCGTTGCTGCACATATTCATAAAAATAACCATACAGAAGATATTTCTTTAGTTAAGAAAGTTGTAACTGTGAATTAGATAGAACAAACGCTTCCTAATAAATAATGATCAGGGGCCAATTTTGTCATTTAGAACTTGCAAACTTAAACTTTCAGGAGGAATGTGTATAAATAGAATAAGATGTATAGGTACTTTCTAAAACTCAAGTTGTTGGTTAGATGTCGAAAGGTATTTCGCGCGTTTTTAAATTTTATTGTGATCGCTTGATGTTTTTGTTTTAGCTTCTTTACATTGCTTACAAAAGCCATACTTCTAATACATATAATCAACCCCTAAAATTCTTACCTTTCCCTTTACTAACTCTGTATTTTTCTTCAAACTTTTTTTAATTTTTGCTATGTCCAGCTTACAGTTTCTTTTATTGCAATCTCTATATTCGCATATCTTTTATTAATCTCATTTCCATTCTTAAGACAATTATTACCGTTAAGAAAGAAGCGAAAGAAATTATGTAAAAGAAATGAAAAATGTTGAGAAAATTACTTAAAAGAATAAAACTTACCCTTTTCCTTGCGTGTTCTGTACATAATGGAAGTTCATGAGTGATATCCAAAACTGGAACGGAGCATTGCGTATTATCGGCAAACTTAGCTGTACAGTAATTGAAGAGAACTTGATCAGAATTACTCATGATATGCAGCGTGCAATACTTTGAACAGGGCAACGCCTGTCGACAACATTTATCAACACAACAGTAACGCGGCGACACTAATTTATTATATCCCAAATTCGTATGACACACTTGGTGTGAACTACATGTCCGCCTATTCGACAAATTGTCAACGTGAAGATCCCACCTTCCCAGATTACTCCGTAAAATTTGTTTCAAGTGCCTTTGCAGTTCGTACCTTGTAATTTCTAAGCGTTCTTCACGTGATTTGTCTTCTAATTTTAATCGCTGTAACAATAATTTATTATTGTTGTTGAATTATCAGATTGAAGAAATTCGTAAATAAGAGAAATGAAAAAATACATTACCTCTAAACTACTACTGAACCACTGTTGTTGGTAATGATTATAGCAAGCATCGCCACCACCTATCCGTTGTAATGACTCGTGGTAAGTACTGGCATTATGCTTCAATCGATGTTTTGAAGAAGATTTTAAACTATTTATTTTATTATCAATTTTTTTACTTAAACCTGCAAACAAATTGATACATAAGCAAGTAGGTACTGTAAAATGGACAATTAACTTATACATATTGTATGGTGTAACTTTCTAGTATTTAGTCTATACTATACTAGGGTTGCCATCTCAAAACTCTACCAACTAGGACAGGAAGCGTGAAAACCCAGGATTTAGGGATTATAAACCCAGACATATCAACTGAATTTGATAAAAAATATTTTCTAAAGAAATAAAACAAACAATTAATTTTTCTAAATAAAACAAGGCGTACTCCATCATGAAACAAAATCTTCTTTAACTGTTAGGAATCAGCAACGGCTTATCTTTTTAAATTCTTTAAATGAAGCAATAATATACTTTTTTTAACAAAATAAAATAAAAGTTATAAGAAGCTAATAACAGTAATTTTTAAATGAAACAAAAATTTGGTCTTTTAGTAAAATAAAATGTTTAGGAAACTATTTACTTTTCAGGTCTTCGGTATTTATCCGTCTCCAATAGCGTTTAGAATATCTTTCTTACTTAAAAGAAATTTATAAAAATCTACACAATTATAATCTTTGAAATTGTACTTTATTTATATCACTGACGAGACTGTGTTGAGATATTTGAAAATTCCTGCTTTCCTTAACCCCTTGATTTAGTTTTAATTATTGTAAAATTAGGTAGTAATGTAGTCATTACTGTCTCGTCAGTGATAAAAATAAAGTACAATTTCAAAGATTATAATTGTGTAGATTTTTATAAATTTCTTTTAAGTAAGGAAGATATTCTAAACGCTATTGGAAATTCGGATAAATACCGAAGACCTGAAAAGTAAATAGTTCCCTAAACATTTTATATGAGTTGTTTTTAGTTGCCATGAATAGTTAGTTGTAGTAACACAAAAATCGCTTATTGAATCTACAGGGTGATTCCTATAGTACCTGCCACCGTTTGGGAGCGTATAGGGGGTGCCTAGGGGAGTATTTTGATATAGGACACTTGGGGTCGGAAATCTAAAATAAGGGCGCCAGAACCAAATTTATCTTCTGGAATTTCACGCCTGTATGTAGGCAACCCAACCGACCGACGTTTCGCGCGGAGCGATGCAGAGCGAGTTAGCGCGAGGAAGCGACATGGGAGGGAAGGAGGGAAAACGACAGTCAAAAGCAATAACGTTTACAAGTGTTCAACGTGGCCACCGTTGTTCTCAATGCACTTCCTACATCTAGCCAACTATTATTATACTATTGCCATAGTGTTTATTCACTTGATACGCGTCGTTGCAGACGGGATTTCGTGGGTTTAAACAAAATTCTGATCAAGTGTCAGCCACACATCGCCGCCTGAGATCGCTCCGTGTGCACCGCCGGCCGGTTGGGTTGCCTACCTACAGGCGCGAAATTCCAGAAGGTAAATTTGGCTCTGGCACCCTTATTTTAGATTTCCGACCCCAAGTGTCCTATATCAAAATACTCCCCTACGCACCACCTACACGCTCCCAAACGGTGGCAGGTACTATAGGAATCACCCTGTATTTCATTTTGGTCATTACTTTTTCCATATTTTTGCTCACTTGTATTCATTAAAGTGTTTTCTACTTTATTTGACTTTCGCTTTTTAAAAGAACTCCAAAAGACTGTTTCAATATTCAATACATTCCTTTATTTTGTCCACTGTTGTGCCACTAGTGAAAATATTCTTTCAGCGTTGTCATTATGAGCAGGAATGCAAAAAGTAGTGCAATTTTCAATAACTCCGAGTACCTACCTATAAATAAGCATTAGGTGTTTTAAAAAATTGTTACCAAAGCTGATTTGCGCTTGAAAGCTTATCTTGTTGGCTTAAATTTTGACAGAAAGATTTTTAATTCACCCACTCAGTACCTCAAAACCCGGACTACCATTGAAAACCAGTCCGGACGCTCCCCGGACGCCCCCTACACTAGGACAAATCCGGGGAAATCTGGACGGATGGCAACCCTATACTATACTAACAAAACAGTGGAGACTTTAACCAACATGTGGCTTGTGGAAGACATAGGTATGTTTTATTCATCTAAACTAATTTAGAATCTCATCTACATTCACGTACCAACAAACCATTAAATATTTGAACTAGAAAAATATTTTTATCATAGAGGGTTGTGCTTTTATTTTCGGCTTAATGAAAAGCAATAAAGATTTACAGAGTGTGTTCAAAAAGTAATGCATTTATTTTTTTTAAAGTCATTTATTGAACAGATTTGCACACACTTAAAATTCTTCAAAATACTGTCCTTGGGGCCTCTACACTTTTTCCGGTGAATTTGCCATGACCGGTACGTGCCCTGGAGAAGTACAGGGTTCGGCAATGAAACGGGAAGATTTCGTAAATAATTTTATTATCGAAAAAATATTTTTTTTGTAATTAGTAATACCATACTGGGAAATAAAAGAGTAGCCATTTGATATACAATGTTAAAAAACATTATTTTTTGAAAATTACATCTGTCAAATGGCCTCCGTTGACACGTATGCATTCATGGAGTCGAGCCTGGAAGTTCTCGACGCGTTGCACTAAAAAAATCTCCTCGCCATTTTGGTAATAAGCCTTAATTGCGTAACCGCGATGCTCCCCCGTCCAACGCTCCATTGTAGACTAAATGGCAAGCCACTCGGGTCCCGACAGGTCTGTGACTGTCCTCCCTACCACTTCACCGCCCGCTGCAAGCCCCACCCCAAATCTTCTGGTTTCATTGCCGGACCCTGTACTTGTACTAGGGGGAAACAACTTTGAATTTTTGATGTACAAATTAACGTGAATTAATGTGAATTAACGTGAATTAAGGTGAATTAACGTGAATTAAGGTGAATTAATTTGAATTTGAATTTTTGTACTTGTTTCCCCCTAGTGCTTGTGTACACGTACTCTAATACCCTATACTCGAGTACATTTTAAATAATAATAATAATAAGACACTAATCGTTACTTGATTTTAATCCGTGCAATTAGTTAACCAGGCTAGACCTGAGTTCTCACAAGAGACACCGACCATAATAATACTCTTTATTTCCATTGACACATATGATGCGTCAAAAAGTATAAAGTACTCATTACTCGTACCTGTAACACGTTTATTTTATTTTATGCAAGTACTTTTTTTAAAGTTCTGTATTCCAAGACGCGCGCTATGCAAATCTGGACTTGTCTCAATTGCCTCTGTGTAACGAAGCATCTATTTTCCGCCTTGAAGTTTACATACTTTCATAACCACCCGGTACGTGAACACCCAGTATCTGGAGGCGCTTCATTACGAAAAGTACTGTGCCGAAAGTATTTACCTTGGTTTTAAGAGTTCAAGATAGAAGGTAATTGATTAGTTGTGTTTCCATCGCCGTTACCGTAAAAAAACTGTAATTAATGCGCCGTTTGCAATCGTTCTCGTCAAGATATTTCAATTATCTTTGTTGCGTTCTTGTCATTTAGAAGACGGAGGCAAATTAATATTTTAGAATTTCAGTCCCATCCCAATGATTTCCGTTTCCTATTTTAATTTAAAACTAGCATTAAACTGCAACGCCGTGCAAGTTACGCCGGTATCGATGTGATAAAACCTTTTGCTTGACTTGAGAAATTCCAGGAAACAATGGGGGTTCATTATAAGGATGAATTTTGAAATTTCATCTCGCACGTTTAAGTGAATACAGTGGAGTCGCGATAATTTGAGTCTCGATGGTTCGAGATTCTGTTTAATTCGAGGCAATCCGCTAACAACTTTCGTTCTAAAAAAACTATTGAAGACTTTTTCAAAAAATAAGTTGTGTACCTATGTCCTTTTTATTTTTTTAAGGTTTTAAGTTACGTATTTAATTCAATAAACTAGTAATGGTTTTAAACCACTTATAAACAAACATACTGTAGTTTTCCTAACGCCTAACCTCAGATTTTTCTAATTACCGGGCCTCCACTATATAATTAACAGTAACTAATTTAGTGGGCATAGGCAGCATACAATTAAATCGTAAGTGGTCTCAAAGAAAAGAAAGGTTTTTAATTAATTTGAATTTTAAAACCAAGTACAGATTTTTCGTCAGCAGGCCACTCAATTAATTAAAGAAGTTTTAATGGTTGTTTAGAGAGGATCTTTCCGTCTTTAATGTTTCAACCGAAGATCTTTTTGCCTTATTCATTTATCATTTTGTTAGCTACATTTGTGTTAATTTCTGATACTTTCTGTAAATTTATTTTGTATTAATACAGTTTAAATTTTGTTTTTACATTAAGTTTGCCGCGCCGTATTTTCAGCGTTTGCTCTTTTTGGTCTCCGCTTTTTTCCGTCGCATGTGCATGCAATCGTATTGTTCGCCGCTTTATTTTTGTGACTAAACAAACGTGCGACAAAAAATCCCAAGTGCGCGCCTAGCCTTAAATTAAATCATTCACTTAAAACCTAAAAAATAATTTAAACACTGGATACACCCTCGGATACACCTTAACTGAAAGAACTGAAATAATCTTTTTCTATGGATCTGAAAATCGATGTGCGCCATTGGGAATTAAGATATTGGCTAAGAAGTGCGCCGAGGATATAGCCATTTTCAATCGTGCTTTACATGCTTTCAAATTTTATTGTTCTGTTCTCCAAATGAAATGGGCTACATAAAAATACGAGCAAGTAAAAATATTAATTTAATTTCGATCAAAGAATTCAAGTACTTCTGGCGGTCGCTTTTCAAAATTGTGACATTATAAAAAATGTAAAGTAAAAAAACAAATAAATATCGCAGTTAGTAAAAAATTTATTTCAACGTCCTGTATATTTTTCAAAAATTGAATACCTATATCCTCGCCTATATCTTTCTTTCCGACTTCAAAAATAAATATATATATATATATATCTATTATTGATATAAGTCGAGATCCGGATAATAGTAGGATAACCTGAGATCCCCCTTTAAAGTTAAAAATATTCGTGTATATTGGGTTGCCAACGACATGAAATATGTCCTTCTATCATTACCCCTATAGAGGGGAAAGGAATTATACA